TCCAAAATAAAATCGGTGGTAAAATCGGGGAAAGCGAGGGTGGGGGCGTGGGTGAGGTGGTCTTTGAGAGTGGTGAAGGCCGTCTGGCAGGCCCCTGTCCACTGATAGGGGTGCTTAGGGGAGGTGAGTTGGGTGAGGGGGCGTGCAATCTCGCTGAATCCCTTTACAAATCGACGATAATAGGTGGCGAGCCCCAAAAATGATCTGATCTCCGTCAGATTCCTTGGCCGTGGCCACTCCACTACGGCGCGTACCTTCTCCGGATCGGTGCGCACGCCTGCCTCGCTGACGCGGTGCGCACGCCTGCCTCGCTGACGCGATGCCCGAGGTACCCCACCTCGCGTTGTGCGATGTAACACTTACGTGGCTTGAGCTTGAGATGAGCCGCTCGCAGTCGCTGGAACACCTCTCGTAGCCTGGACCAATGCTCAGACAAAGATCTACTGAACACGATCACATCGTCCAAGTAAATCAGGCACTGTTCCCATTGCAAACCCCGCATCACCAACTCCATCAGTCGCTGGAACGTCGCGGGTGCATTGGTGAGTCCGAACGGGAGTACTCGAAACTCGAATAGTCCCATCGGGGTGGTGAATGCGGTTTTCGGCCGATCCTCCTCCGCCATCTCCACCTGCCAGTACCCGGACGCGAGATCGAGGGTGGAAAAATATCGCGCTCCGGCGAGGCTGTCAAAAGTGTCGTCGATGCGGGGTATGGGGAAGGCGTCGCCGAGCGTGACTGCGTTCAGTTTACGATAATCGACGCAAAACGGGTTGACCCATCCTTTTTCGTTACTAGTACCACCGGGGCTGACCAGGGGCTCGCCGAGGGCTGAATTATGTTATCGCGAAGCATGTCCCCAACCGCCTCTTTGATCTGGGTGCGTTCGGGTGCGCCCACTCGGTATGCAGGGAGTTTGATGGGTCGGGCTGCACCGGTGTCAATTTGGTGCTTAACAAGGTCGGTCCGACCAACGTCCGAGTCGTGTTCGCTGAACACGTCGGCATACTCCCGCAGTAACTCGCGCAGCCGATCGGCCTCTCCCTTAGGAACGACCTCGGCTCGGGGAGTCGGGCCGACTCGCCAGGCCAGGTCCTGCTCACCCTCAGGACGACCGGGGTCCTCAGCCCAGAGTGCGGACACCGAGTCGTTAGAGTGGCGTGCGTGCAGGGGGTGTACTGTGGCTATCGGGGTGCGCCGTCGCAGTATCGCTGGGGTATTGTGGGGGTTAAACATCCGCATAAACAATCGGTCCCCATCTGCGTTTACCAACGTGGCGGATCCCACAACCCCATACCGTTTTGCCAACTCCGGGTGAGGAGTTAGCATTATCTCCCCTGATGGTCGGAGCGCGGGGTCGGTGGGGGATGTTGCCACCGGCACCAGCATCTCGGTGAGCGGCCCGATGGTGACTGCCGTCGCCAGGATAGCGGCCACAGGTGCAAAGCGGAGGCGCGTTGGTTCTCGTCCCAGGAACGGTATCCGCTCGCCGTTGCTCTCCATGGTGGCGCATCGCTGGCGGGGTTGCACGTTGAGTCCCAACCGTTCTAGGAGGTCGGTGCCTGCGATACACTCGTGACACAACGCACTCGACACGCAGAACTCCTGCGTGCACACCTGGCTGCCTATGCGGACCTCTAGGGTGGCTCTCCCCAGCAGCCCCATTCCGGCTCCGCTCGCAGTGTGCAGCGCGCGGTCCGGGGCCTGCAGGTGACGCACGTCGACCCCGATCGCGCTGCAGTGCGCTGCGCTCACGAGCGAGGCCACCGCCCCCGTGTCCAGCAGGATTCGGGTACGCACTCCGTTAACCTCCCCTTCCACCAGCGACGTGGCCCCCGTGATCCCCGCCACCAGCTCCCGTAGCCAGTCGCCGGGAGTCACCGTTTCCGTGGGCGTTGTTGCTGGAACCTGTGTGGAGATCACTCGCTCGCCATTATTCTCATTATCGTCTATTTGTATCGGGACCGCGTCGATTGCACCCCTAGTTGGTCCGCTTTCTAGGGGGCGTTGGAGTTTAACCCCCGCATCTGCCTAGCTCGGGTGATTTCAGGACAGTCTCTCACTAAATGCCCTCGGCGATCGCACATATAACATGCCCGAGGAGGGGGGGCGGCTCCGTAGTGGGCCCCCTGCCCACTCCCTCTCCCTCCCCCAGTACGCAGTTGTCCCAAATCGGACTCTAATTGGGACACCCTCCCGGCTAGCCCCCCTACCGTGGAACGTAGTTCACCCATCTCAGACTGGAGGGTCTTCATATTTTTACTTGCTTCCTCGCGTACCTGGGTTACCCTCTCACCTACGTGGGTTACCCTCTCACCTACTTGGTTTATCATATCTCCCATACCGGCCTGTAACCCAGCTACCCACCCCGGGGTTTTCTCGCTGGGTCTCTGGGGCTCCCTTGCCCGTCCCCTTCCTGCGATGGCGAGCTCCTCCTCCTCGTCCGAGAGTAGGCTCGCTACGGCGCACTCTCGTCCCCTCCCTCGAGGCTGCGCGCGCTCACCCGAGAGCTTCTCGCATTTACGCGCGCGCTCGACAAGTGTGTTAAAGGAGAGGCGTGCACCGTCTATATTTGGCTGCCACCATGGGGTGCGTGCCAAATATCGCTGGACCTTCCCGGCGGCGAGGTTCTCAATTACTTTCGCCTCGTGCTCCGGGTACGCGAGCTGGGTCAACATGCGTACGTCCTCGGCGTAATCTCGCAGATCCTCGCCGGGCTGACGGCGGCGTGCCTCTAAGGCCGCCTGCGCCTCCTCCTCGTCATAGGCGCCGAAGCGCCGTTCGAATTCGCACATTAATTTTTCCCACTGAGTTTGTGCGCTTGCGGGCAAAGCTTCCACAAAGTCAGCTGCTCGCCCATCTAAATGTATCTCTAACTGCTGCAACGCCTCCTCATCCGACCACCCATTAACCTTTTTAGCCCCCCTGATGCTGCGGGCAAACGATTTCCATGATGGAATTCCTTTGCCCGTAAATGTGCATTTGATTTTAACCTGGGTTGGGGGGCCTCTTTCCCTTGGGGGCGCGGGGGATCGTCCCGTTTCTGACACCAATATGTCGGGGTCGCTGGCCCCCGAGATCCCTCCCTCTGTACCGCTAACGGTCGGGTTAACCTCATTATTAACCTCATTACTCGCCCCCTCGCTACTAGGCGAACCGCTGTTGGGTTCTTCACCCATGGGGTGAGAGCCGTCGCTCGAGGATTCCCCTCCCCCGCGGGTCCGCGTAATAGGCATGGTTAATTACGTACGCGCACACCCACACACAGCTCTGCGCGGCACTCACTCAATACTGACCACTCACGTTAGGATCGCGCACCTGTATTATACACGTAGTGAACGTGTGCGCGCACACGCATACAGCTCCACACGCGATACCCACTCTTGCGCCGCTCCGCGCAGCGCTCGCCGCCTGCTGGCCGCTTACGTTATGATCGCGCACCTGGGGTACGCCGATTACGCACGCCGCGAGCTTACGCACACACAGTACCACACGCGTTCCCACACGCTCACACTGCACGACAAGATCACGCGAGACCACGCTTCGCTATTAATGATTTATTACCTGGTACTAATGTTGAATCAGTGAGTCGACGAGGCTGGCCTATTCCCCTAAACCGGCACCTATTCCCTATTTATCGGCTATTATCTTACTTCACCTCCCCACTCCCTGTTTGGCGCCCGCGGAGGTTCGCTGCTCCCTGCGCTAACAACGTACCTCGATGCGTCTCACGGACGTCCGGGTCGCTGGCTGGAGCTGCTGCTGGTCCGCTGGCCTGGAGAGAAGAGAGCGATTTCCCCTCTGCGCCCCTCTATTTATCCTCCCTACCTCAAAGGGGATGCTGCGCTGAACAATGGGCTCGTGCACCTCGAGCCCGCGCACGGCGGTTCCGGGCGCTGTTGATATGCTAATCAGTGTGCGGCGTGCAAGGCGTAAATCCTAGTTAATCCCTTACCCTTCCTAACAATGGAACCTGCGCGCTCAAGCGTAATTATCCCAACCCTCCATGACTATGCGCAACAGCTCCTGCGGTCCCGCTATTCATGCTGTCCCGTCCCTCCTCTGCTTGCCCCGTCGACCCGTGGGGGTGTGTGTGGGGGGAAATGCGCCTCAACCGCGGTGGCCGAATGCCCCATGCCGCGACCATACCATATTAAGGCTGGTCGCAGCGCCGCGGTGCCACGTAGCACGGGGGAGGTCATCCAATTCCCTGATCGCCGAAAACCGTGAGAGTTAACCCCGATAAGGGTTTCTCGGATAAAAACCGGTCGGCCAGGTGACCTCCCCTCGGAGCTCTATGGGGGGGGGGGGGGGGAATGCGTGCGGGTGTGTTCGTGTGAGGTGAGGTGAGGGGGACGCGGGGTTGGCTCCGTTGCTTGGTGGTGGCGAGGTCGGGGATTTGGGCGCCTGCCGAACGGCTTCGTGGCGGCGGCATCACAATTTCCCCCTTTTATTTGTTAAAACCTCAAGCAGCATGAACGAGATTAATTGTTGAAAATGTTTTATGCAACCAGCCACTCGTCTGTACACTTGTTATGCTAACAGTTGTGTCCAACCAGTCGATGTCAGCTCATGTATGTATGTTGTTGAACTTCTTTTGCATCGTACATAACCAACCATGCTATTCCGAGGTTGCGGGGGAAGGACAACAAACTAGACACGAAAAGGTGGAACCGTCACAGCCCGACAGCTGTATCAAGTAAATAAGAGATTTACAGGAGATACCGTAATCTCTCATTTACTTGATACAGCTGTCGTGGCTGTGACGGTACCACCTGAAGACGGAAGCTTGTGTTGCCTCCGAAACGTCGTGATTTTTATTTTATTTTACTTTTATTAATTTTAATTTTTTACCTACGTGACTTTACCGAAAAAAACTAAGAATATGAATCCTTGCAGTCACGAAAGCTTCAAATCTAGAATAGGCACGAAAATCATTTCTAAAGAAATTCGTTTTCAATTAAGACTTGGCTCCTTAGAAAAAGGAAACGAAAGCAGAATAGACGACCACCGCGTTTAATTAGCAGCGGGTGATACTTGGACGTTACAGGTGTGTCGGCTCTTCTTGAATGCTAAGGCATCAACTAGTTCTATTGCAGCACACTCCCATTATTTGTAACATCGTTTACCAATGTCCATGTGCCATGCCGCACACAGAACATCAGTTTTTTGCTGTTCAATGCACAACAATTCTTGTCTCGGTGAGTCGATTTCAAAGATTAGCGTCACCGTTCTATTTTAGTGATGCATTGTCTTACATTTTATCGTGGAACGGTAGTACCTCTTATTCGTAACAGAATCGTAGTAGTATTTTATTGTGGAACGTACTAATTTGTTTTATTTATTTCTGAGTAGATCACAATTGTCCTTGAAACTTCTGACACTTTATTCATTACCAAGTTGGTTATACCGTACAAGCTTTTAAGAAACGACTTAATTCAGGTCTCAAGATAGGGTATTAGGTGCATTAAAGCACACTCATAGAAAAGATTTGCCTTGACCCAAAATCATCGTTTAATCGTCTATATCGTTCTTTGCATGGATTAAGACTTGTCCAAAACCGAATGCACGTCAAAATAACAACGTATTTATTTACTAATTAAGTCCCTTTGAGTCTCACTTTTTAAGAGGTTTGGCCAATTCCTGATCAAGTATTGACATGTGTGGGAGGAAACCTAAAAAACAAATCAAAAACTAGGTCAACATCTTACTTGCTACTCTGCCATATACTTGGACACCTTATAGCCCTGCAGGTGAGTGTCGTACAAGTGAGCCACCAACTCTGCTGGATTCTGATTTCCGTCGCTGGAAAACGTTCATGCGGGCCTTGCGTGAGCAGTGCGCATGTAAAGTGCCAGAGCTGAATGGCGACACGGCCTACACCGCTATCTAGTCCCAGCTACCTATACAGTGAAATGTTTCACACCACCAGATTTACATTTTTTCATGAAATATATTTTAATTACATGGAAGGAATTTTTATTTTTTTTATTATATCATATAGTGTTCTAACATATATAAATGGCATTAGTTTCTACAGCTATAAGGTTATATATATTAATCTGCATATGTGCATGTCTCTGCGCCCGATATGTGTCCGTGCATGTTTTAGAGAGGATCTCTGTCACCCGATGCATATACTTCCAGATGGACCTTTTCGAGTACAGCAGGGGTGGGGGGAGCCTTATCTTGAATGAGGACCGAATAGAACTTTTAAAATACCTTAGGTAGGACAGCCACACATTAAAGCTACCGCCTCAGTCACCTGTCACTGCAAGAGGCGTATGCAGTGACATAAGTGTTTGAGAGTGCTAAAATTAGAAAAGCAGTGTCACCAATTGAAAAATATTCCCCTCTAGTACCCGATCAATGAGGCTAAAAGACGCTCGCAGTGATGGAAAACATAATTTGCAGCCTGTTTGTAAGTGGTTGGCTTCACGTGACCGTAGGCCTTATGAAGTGATGTCGCAGGTTGCACACAGCCTCGGGTGCTATGTGTTCCCCACCCCAAGGGGAAAGGAGCATTCACGTAATTCACTTTGGAATACCTCAATGAGCCTCTCATCACAACGGCAAGATATCCATGCAGGCTACATGGAGAGAGGTATGCCCATCATCATGTGTTACTCCTAATGAACCTATCTGTACAAATGTAACTTTCCCAGCATTGATGAGCTGGGGTGAATGTTAAAAAAAACGAGCGGAAAACCAGATGGGATTTTGTCCAATTGTTGGTGACCGAGCTGAACGCATCAAACCTTTTCTCTGCTTGAGAATGTGGTTTAATTTAGACAGAATGGACCCATGATCACAGAGGTGCGGGCTTCATGCTGCCACAGGTACAGCAATAAACCCAATGCACCCATTCACATATATGGCTATGTATGCGTATGTGTCTTTGCGCCTGTGTCTGCAGAGTACTCTTGTCTCTGTGTCCTCGTGATGGCACGTGTCACGTGCCCTGGTTTCAGTAGTACATGTTCTGCGCCCACCAAGCTGTGGAGACACACACACACGGGACAATCGTGGTTATTTGTGTGGCATGATCATGTGTGTGTGTGTGTCTGGTGCTATTAAAGTGACTGTACGATGGATGGACTAGGCCCTCGGGAATATTGCAGGCGATTTTGTCGTAGATCTTAGGTAGCAGTTAGACTTCCACACTCGTAGAACACAGGCAGAGCGCTGTTTTCATCGCCAAACATCATTCATGTAGGCAGGGCCAGCAGGGTCGTTGGACCGTACAGCGGAAGTGCAGTGTGTACTGCATGTACACTGTCTGATAACAGAGGCAGAACGGTATATGTGTGCATATGTACACTATTGCTGTGTATGGGGAGCGGAAGTGTAGTGGTTAGTGTGCTGTGCTACAAACCAGGTAACATGAGTTCAATTCCCTCACAGGACCAACACCAATGACAATTATCTGAACCAGTTCTGGGCCTCCCATAGGTTGACTCAGTCTCAAATGATGTATAAACATCATCACAGGGAGACAAAGGCGGCCGGGTGTGTTGCTGGCCATCCCACCGCCATGCCAACCTGCATAGGTGCTCACTAACAGCACTTGCCCTAATGGTGTCAATGCTATATGGGGGATCAATGTCTTTATTACTGTGTGATAATAGATGCTGCGCAATACATGTCAGCGTGTCGACTTACACTCGGGATATCTCCGGATGAAGAATTTGCGCATCTCGTCGTACAACCAGATGAAGATGGCGTATGATATCGCCACAAACCACCAGCCCACTCTGCATGCAACCACACGCACAATACACAAAGTAGGTATGAAACATCTGGTCAGATGTGCACTGTGACAGCCTTCATAGATGCTCGATAAAAGTACTTGCCCAAACAGTCGATAATGTATGGGTCCTTGTCTTACATGTCACGACTTACCGGAGTGGCATGAAGTGCAGGCCCTCATCCATGCCCGGGCAGTAGGACAGGAAGGCAGCGATCACCAGCTGAGAGAGCATCCCCAGCAACACTACCTTGTTCCTGCAAGGACGCACAGCACAGCGGACGTTAATTTGAGTTGACTCTAAACCCTAGAGCTCGAACCCCTAACCGCAGCACCACCCATATTAGTATAATATAGTAGTAAGCAGGCAAATATCTATTTGCCTGCTTAAACTAATGCTCTTGGAAAATCCAGGTCCACAAGGCTGTAAGGCTGGTGGGCAAAAAAGGTATGTGAAGAAATAGAAATGTAGTCTGTTATTTATTAACCATGATCCTTCACGATGGTGCACACAGAGGAAACGCCCACCGTCTCCTCTCTGTACAGACTTCAACTTTACGGAAGGAGCAATGAAGATGCTACACTTTCCTGACCCAAGCAAGGACTTGGCAAACCAGGGGGTTGTGATTGGACCATGGGCATGAGAACATAGCAGGAGAAGGGGAGAGGGGGGTGGCTGCCTTCTAACTTACGGAACAGGGGTGCAAGCCGTATGCTCAGTAGCCTTCATTGGTCTCCTTGACTACTCAACATGAACAACCATGGCCAGGAAATGCAAAACTGCGATGGACAGAAGTTGCGGAGGTTTCAAACGAAGGGTAATGTAAGGTTGGGTGGCATTGCCCAAGCAAATTCCCAGGTGATACCAGTTTGTCCGGTGGGAGGGGACCAAAACGTAACATCGTTTTTCGTTGGATATCTCATTCCTGCAATCCAGAAATAATGGCCAATAATACTGAATGTATTCTTCCTGGTCAAAATGTTAATTGAATGATGACATGAGGCCAGCTTCGAGCGCTTTCTTTCTCCATGTTGTTCTACTCTTTGCCTCTTCTCTAAGTAGCATTCACCTTGCAATTTCTGGAATTATTTGGGGTCAATTCCTGACACGGGCGGTGACCATGGGTAGCGACATTCCAGCCTGAGTTACCTAAAAAGGCCCTGTGTGAAGAGTGAGTTCCGGCGAGTTTTGCGGATGACGAGGTCGGCGAGTTGCTGGATGACGATGGCGATGAAGAAGGCCGTGTAGCACACGAACTCCTGTTTCTGCCGCTGCACGAAGGTCTGCATGCGCGCGGACACAGGCGTACGGCTCAGGGCGCTGCACGACGTCTGACCACAACTCCTGTGTCCTCGGGAAAAGTTATGTTTCGAGTTTATTTTGTTTAACCAGGTGTGTGCAATCCCATTGAGTAACGTGGAGGCAATTTTCAAATTTGGTAAAAGAATGCCTGAAAGTGCCTATGTTGGGCCTAGTAATTGTGCTGGTATATTTTTTTACAAATTATTTCAATTGTGCTCTCAGCATCAGAAATCTCGCGGAAATTGTGTCGGGGAACAGCTACGGAAGATATTTTTCACAGGGCTTCTAAAAAATCCTTCAAGTCGCCTTGTTCAGCTTTAGCCCTGCATCGTAGGGAGCACTCTCTCCCATACATTCTGCTACAAGTGTTTGTTGGATTAACTCAAACCAATTAATTCAAGTTTTGGAGCTTTAAATTAGGCGTGCGATAGTTTTTTCTGTGCAGATCATAAGTGAGTGCGTCCAATGCATGATGCCTGGACACACCCAACAGAAATGCCTGCTAAATAATATTTCCTGTTTTTGTTAAAATGAACGATATACAGGTAGACCTCGCTCAGCACGACCCTGTAGAATGCCGAGTCATTACGGTGGTCTTGGTCCTGTTGGAAATTTTGTACTAAAAAAAATGAAAATACTAAAATCTACAAGGTGCTTAAGAGTGAGAACACGCAGTGCCAAGGAAACGCACCCACCGCCAGATAATTTGATGACATTTGCTCAGCCAATGATAGTGATGTACGCTGAGCCAAACAGCACCCCACCTCCCATAAATTCAATTATCACGATTCATGGTAATGATTGCATTGCATTGAAAAAAAGATATAGACATTGTTTTCAATGTTATTACAGAATTGTTATTTAATGCTAAGACACTACGCACTGAGCCACGCAGTGCTCGCCGACGTGTTTACTCCGCCTTAGTGTTTCTCTGCCTTATTTTTGTGTGTTTTTGTGAGCGTTTTAGACCCATCATCTCTGGAAAAAAGCTCGCAAGTGTTAGTGCTGGAAATTTGACCAAAGTGTTAACGAAAAGTATCACTTCGGAGCATCAGATGTATGCACTGGTGAGTACAGTACATAATACTGATGTTATAATTAAAACAACAATATTTTTACTTATTAAATGTTTACCATCTGTGTGTTATTGTTAGCACTATTACCGATACCCCAATGAAGCCGTCGGAAATGAATTTCGATATATGCAATGGTGTAATGGCCCCTTTTAGCACCGATTCCATTAGTGCTCACTTCTACATATTCATGCATCTTGAGCGCTAAGCGAGGTCTAAAGTGTATTGTTTTTCAAGAAGCAGTACACGCGTGTGAAGGCGGCGCTGGTGCCGGCGTGTGCTGCTGCATGTGAAGTGAGCGTGTGGCACGCACCCACTCTTGTCCATACGAGTCCTCCAACTCCTGCTCATCCACCTGCTCCCAGTGCTGGCGCAAGCCGATGCATGTGGTCGGAAGCCAGCCTTCCTCGGCCATCACCGTGAAGTAGCCGAGGAATGCCCCCACCGCCTGCGTCACACCTGCGGGCACGCACAGGTTGCACTCGTGGGTCACACAACACAAATAAAAAACGTCCCGTCGTGTCGTCTTTAACAGACTGTTGGGGCAAGGGATGCTAGCAAGCAGCTATGAAGGCCGGCACAGCACATGAGCGAATGGGTGGCCAGCACCACGTCCAGCCGCCTTTGTCTCCCCAGTGCCGATGTCTTACGCACCGAGTACTCATTTGAGGCTGAGTCGACCTTGGGGAAGCCCAGGACTGGTTCAAATATTTGCCGCTGTTATTAGTCACGAGTGGGAATTGAACTCTGGTCGCTGGATTTGTGGTGCGGTGTTATAACCCCACTGGGTTACACACACCCATACGTGTAGGTACATGTACAGCCCATTGCTGGATGAGAGCTTCCCCATGCTGTGTGGATCGTGCGAGATTATTTGACCATACGTCACTATGCTTGTCGGTGAGGGTTGGCGATGGTCAGGAGCATAGACGAGGGAACAAAGTACAGTACAACAACGGATTTTGCTGCACAGCCCTATGCTGCCCAGCACATGACCGTGCAATCTATGACACCTGTTATTATACATGGTGGTCTCCCAAACCTGTTACCTACGAAGATCTGATGAGATCAGTGCATGATGAGTAATTTGGTCGTAGGCATATACAAAGAGAATGACAATCGAGCCCTGTAGCAACTTTGCAATTGTAACTGGGAAACGGTAAAACATTATGAAGATTCAAACTGTGGAACGCAAATATTGATGTATAGAAGACAAGATGAGTCGAGTCGATCATCAGGAGGGATTTGAATTAAGTTGCGATTACGTGTTGAGATTTTTAACCGCCGTACCACCTGGCGTGTTGTTTTTCCACTGCAGAATCTGAACTCGTGCCGCTGATGTCGCACGCAATGAACGCACGACGTCAGTGGCACACGTTTGTCAAGTGTACTGACAAACGGAAAAATTATAAACCACGCCCCTGGCCCTGCTTGGCCCCGAAACAGATTTCGATGTCTTCTTGTGAAGCCTGGCTTGGAAAAAATCACCCATACTGGCGCAGCTCGGGTGTGGCAGTGGAAAAGGGTGAGTGAACCCGCAGGCAGGCCGAGCGGCACTCACCGATCTGCAGGTAGGAGTAGGTGGCGAGTTTCGAGTTCACCAGGTGGTCGGTGCGAGCATTGCGCGGTCGCCGGTTCATGATGTCGCTCTCGGATTTCTCATAGGCCAGAGCGATAGACGGGATCTGCGCGCGTACACGCGGAGTGGAACAGAATGAGCGAGTTCACTTCCAGCCCAGCTGGAATTAGCGTTGCATACACTTTGCACGGAGCAGTATGCACAGGTAGCTCTCTAACCACACGTAGATTTCATTCACCTCCACCGGAACTGAAATGTTTGGAGGATATCTTTCCATCGGTTGATGGATGCAGCCATCGTGAATGTTGCACAAATTACTCTGCTCATAATGCAGTGAGACCTTGCAGAGCCAGATTTGCGTAGGCCTATATTTTGGGTAAGCTATGAGGCTTCCAGAAATAAAGAATAAATAAATGTTTTGTTTTAAATGTTAATGTCAAATATTTAACAAAAGCCATAAATCCAACTGGAACTCTATTTATGCACTAATGAAGCTGCGACTTGTAGAAGGCGGAGGAATGTGCGTGTACACGAGCAATTCTAAACCGAAAAATAAAAACATATCTATGTAAATTGCCAATAAGTGCTCTGGAATGTCACATGCTCTACTAAGTGCTCTCTCGTTTTCCTGTTCATTACTTTATCTTTTGTTTTATAAATAAGCTCAATAAATATTTCATGCACTCATCCAGTGAACCTCAACCATCTACCTGCCTCTGCTTCGGTGCTACGCTAGCGAGATGTTAATTACCTCACCTCGTATACAGGAGGTTGTGGGTTCAATCCCGACCCTGACGCCTGTATATTTGGAGTTTGCATGTTCTCCCCGTGGTCGTGTGGAAACACGCATTTCGAGTATTTTACTGCTGTAAATTTCCACATGATAAGCCACTTCATTGGGCTATCGTTTGTGGCCAAATGATAGCCCAATGAAGTAAAATTAATGTTTTAGGTTAGCTTCATTGAGCTCATGGTAGAGGCTGCTGATCATGCTGCCTTATAAAATGTATGTTTGCTTCTTAATTTTGACACAAGTTTTGCTTTTAAAGTCGATTTTCGCTGTAAGCGTTCAGCTTACATTGCTAGGGACCGGTACATCAGGGCATGAGCTGCTGCGGAGGCACGGTGTGAGTACTCGCGCATGTACGTACGAAGCTGGGGAACAGACTGGAGTGGTTTGCGTGGTGCCACATTGGCGCAGGTTGGTGGTTGGTGTGTGCTGGGCTTGTGTAGCATTGCGCAACCAAGACGAGGCATGAGGAGTGGGTGGCCGTTCAAATTGCGTGTGCAAAGTTGGCAGACACATTGCAAGATGCGATACTTACGATATCCGTTCCCAGATCGATGAAGAGGATGGTGATGGTGCCAATGGGCAGCGGGATGGAGGCGATGATGTAGATCAGGAATGGGCACAGCTCAGCGATGTTCTTGGTGAGGGTATAAGCGATGGACTTCTTTAGATTGTCAAAGATGAGCCGACCTGCAGAAGCGCACCAACACATGCACAACACTCTCATCATTGGAGACCACCACGGTGACCCACCGCCATTACTCGCACCACCATCGCATTCAGCGCTGCTGTCACTTTTGTTTAAATAATACTTTTTTTTTGCTGATGGTGGAAGTGGCGGTGATGGTGGAAGTGGCGGTGATGGTGGAAGTGGCGGTGATGGTGGAAGTGGCGGTGATGGCGGTGGTCGTGGTGAGGGTGATGGTTGGTGGTGGCAGTGGTTGGAGCGGTGGTGGAGGTGGTGGTGCTGGCGATGGCAGGGGTAGTCGTGGCGGTTGTCGTACAGTTGGTGGTATTGGTAGTGGCGGCATTCCTGGTGGTGGAGGTGTTGGTGGTGCTAGTGTCAGTAGGAGTAGTGATGGCAGCGGTCGTTGCAGAGGTGGCAGTGATGGTATTGGTAGTGGCGGTGTTGCTGGCGGTGGCGGCATTTCTGGTGGTGGTGCTGACATCGTAAGTGTGATGGGTGAATGCCGCTGCTTACCCTCCTCAACACCAGTGACAATGGATGCGAAGTTGTCATCCAGCAGGATCATGTCGGCTGCCTGCTTGGAGGCGTCCGATCCGGAGATGCCCATGGCGATGCCGATGTCGGCCTTCTTGAGTGCTGGAGAGTCGTTCACGCCATCTCCCGTCACTGCCACGATGGCGCCCTAAATGCGCGAGTAGAATCGACAGAGAGTCATGCGCTCGCAATGACCAATCCATCAACAGCAGCAGCAGCAGCAGCCATGATCAATCCACTGCTGGATGAAGGTAATTAAACCTATATGATGGAATATTAGTTCCGAGGGGAAATTAATATTCGTCCTTAGGGGAACGTATATTCTGGGGGACATATATCCTGACCCTGCAGTGTTGCTGCAGTTCATGCGTGGTGTATAGTGTCCTCTGCGGGGAGCAGTAGTGTATGGTTGTCACACGCTATGAACCTGGTGACCCGAGTTCCGACTCCCACTCACAGCCAACATCAGTTATGACTATCTGAACCGTTCCTGGGCCTCCTCTAGGTCGACTCGGCATTAAGTGATTACCTGGTGCAGTATTTAAACATCAGAAATGTCAAATAAAAAGTGACCAGACGAAGTATTGGCTGTACCGGCCTTCATAGGTACTCCCTAACAGCACTTTTCCCACAAGTTTATTAAGGCTACATGGGGGATCTTTGCGTTTTGTGTCTCTGTTCGGCACCTGTCTCTGGCAGCCCTCCACGATGATGAGCTTCTGCTGGGGTGACGTGCGAGCGAACACGATCTCCGTGTGGTTGGCCAGGATGCAGTCGATTTCGTCACTGCCCATGTCCTTCAGCTCCCCGCCATTCACCACCGCAGCCTTCGCGTCCCTGTACCGTGCACAACGTCGCACGCACACTCTCCTCTACTGCCTCCGTGGTCGAGAACTCCCTTCGTGCACATGTACTCACATGTTCCTGTTTATATGTTCGCGTTTGTGTGTACCCATGTGCGTGCGAATGGCACTTGCCCCAACAGTCTGTTAAGGCTATACAGGGAGTTGTTGTCTTTTGTCTGTACCCACAGGGAGCAGTAGTCAAGCAGCTAGCATGCTATACTACGAATTCGGCCAACCGAGTTCGATTCCCACTCACAGCCACCACCAGTGACGATTATCTGAACGGATCCTGGGCCTCCCCGAGGCCGACTCAATTTAGCATTTCCACTCAGGAGACAAAGGCAGCGGGCGTGGTGCTGGCCACCCACCCCTCTCGCGTGCTGTTCTAGCATTTATAAGTGTTCGCTAACAGCACTTGCCTCACCACCCTGGGTAGGCTATATGGGCTATATGTGTCTTTGTACCCGTGTGTTCCTATCAGTGCATGTGTGTGTGCGTGCGTACCGTGGGTTGACCTGGTCGAGGGGGATGTTGAGGCGGATGGCAATGTCGTCGACTGTCTCACTGCCGGCAGAGATGATGCCGACGCTACGCGCGATCGCCTTCGCCGTGATGGGATGATCGCCCGTCACCATGATCACCTGCCATGCAACATCATCACCATCGTCGTCATCCTCACTATTGCCAACAACAACAATCACCGTTCACCACAAAGTGGTGGTGATGTAACCATGGCGCTTGTGCCAGGCTAGGTGCACTCTGAGGCCATGTGACATGTCGTAGGCTCACTGCTGGCAGGTCATCGAACAGAGCCAGGTGCCGTGGGTTGACTTAGATAACTGACGGATGCGCCACCCGTCCCATTACCACCACCACCACCATCCTCATCACCACCACCCGAAACAACACCATCGCCACCAGGACCATTACCATCAATGCCATCTTCATCATCATCCTCATCACAACCAGGACAATTACCACCACCAGAGTCGTATCTCTCCAGCTGAGCGTTGCTGTGGTTTGAGTGCTCAACTCAAATTCCATGAGTTCAAACTCAGGTTGGGAGTCAACTCAACCGATCTTCGCTCCGGGGTCAATAAAATACCAAGCTGGAGCAAGTCAACTGTAATCACATGAATGAGAGACTGCTTCCTGCCAAAGGAAGGAGGAATTTCCACCACTGCCGATGGTACTGAATTCCATTAATTTTATGATTCAGCACAGGAACTCACTGATTCAAAAAATAGTTTTCCCAAAGTGTGAACTTTGTGGGTTATGATCCTCAAAGAGATTGGTCCTCAAAGTTACCCCATGCATGTGGTTCCCTGTATGCGTGACATCTCAGGTGAATCGACCGCTGCGATTGTCAGGTGAGACGTCCCTCGTGCGTGAGCGTGTATGCATGTGAGCACGTATGCGCGTGCTCGTGTGCGTGTATGTGAGCGCGTGCGTGCGTGTGCGTGCGTGTGAGCACGTACCTTGATGCCGGCCGAGCGACACTTGCACACGGCGTCCGGCACGGTGGAGCGTGGGGGGTCAATCATAGATATGAGCCCCACAAAGCAGAGGCCCTGCACAGGGAAGTTCCGCGAGTCCGTGTCGAAGGTGAAGCCGCGAGGAAACTCGTCCAAGGGCAGCTGCAGGTGGCAGAAGCCTGTGGAGCAGCAGCATGCGGGTCAGTAGTGTGCTGGTCAACAGCAGAGTGCGGGGCAGTGGCATGTGGGGCAGTAGTGTGCACGTAGGAGATTGGTGTGCACAGGAGCACGGTGCCTAGGTGTGTCCAGGCTGGGCTGATGTGCGGAGTGTGCACAGTGTGTGTCTCATTGTGTTTGCATGTGTGCGTGTCGGCGAGCATGCACACAAGAGTCTGGAGATTTGGTGAAGCTATAGGGATCCGTTGAGGCTGTAGGGATTCGGTGAAGCTGTTACTGTTGGGATTCGGTGAAGCTGTGCGGTTTCAGTGAAGCTGTAGGGATTCGGTGAACCTGTGAAGATTCGGTGAAGCTGTGAGAATGCTGAGTGTGCCGTGCGAGCGAGCCGCACCAAGCACACGCTCGCCGAGCCCCCCCAGGGCGGTGTAGGCCTCTGTGAAGTCGGCGCGCTTCTCCTCGTCCAGTGGCACCTCAACGCCTCCCAGCATGATGGTGGTGCAGCAGTCCAACACTCGCTCCGGAGCCCCCTTCATGACGAGCAGGTGGCCCGTGGAACCCTCCTCCTCGTGAATCGACAGCTGTGGGCACAGGCGCAGACAACAGAGATAAAGATCCCCCCATGGCCGTACAGGCTGTTGGAGCAAGTGTCGTGAGCGAGGGCCTATTCAGGACGAATATCCTTCAGGCTGCCGGAGATACAACAAAGACAAAGATCCCCCCCTATAGCCTTAACAGACTGTTGGGGCAAGTGCTGTTAGCGAGCACCTATTAACGCCGGCACGGTACACGAGGAGGCGGTTGGCCAGCACCAAGTCTGTCTGCCTTTGTTTTCCGAGTGGCGATATTTACACACCGCATCAGGTACTCATTTGAGGTTGAGTCGACCTAGAGGAGGCCCAGGACTAGTTCAGATCATCGTCATCGGTGTTGGCCATGAACGGGAATTTAACTCAGGTCGCCGGGTTCGTAGCGCAGCGCACTAACCGCTACATTTCCTTTTGCATATTTTCCAAGAAACTTGTACTGCGTGCGTGTACCTTGCACTTTTGTGTGAAAACCAAAGTATTTGTTGTGCAAGTGCCTGCCAATTATTGTGCATGTTGAGTACCTGGTCTTTGTGTGTGAGGACCTGGCACTTGTGTGTGAGTAACTGGAGCTTGCGTACGAGCGCCTGGTATTTGTTGAGTGTGTGAGTACCTGGTACTTGTTGGTGCTGTTGAAGGGGATCTCTGCGACCTTGTTGTTCCGCTCCCTCATGTTGGCGATGGAGCCGAGGAGCTGCTCCGTGAACTTGAGCAGAGCCGTCTCGGACGCATCTCCACTGACGTCGCGCTGCACGACATCACACCAGCACCACCGTCACACCGCAATTGTCACAACACCGCCACTGTCACATCACCATCATCACCACCGTCGTCATAGCGCTGCCATCATCAAACCACCATCGTCACAGCATCGCCTTCGTCACAACACCGTCACACCACCACCATCACACCACCATCGTCATAGCATCGCCTTCATCACAACATCATCATACCACCATTGTCACAATACCACTGTCACACCACCATCACCACAGCCACGCCATTGTCACAATACCACTGTCACACCACCATCACCACAGCCACGCCATTGTCACAATACCACTGTCACACCACCATCACCACCGCCACGCCATTGTCACAATATCACTGTCACACCACCATCACCACAGCCACGCCATTGTCACAATACCACTGTCACACCACCATCACCACAGCCACGCCATTGTCACAATACCACTGTCACACCACCATCACCACAGCCACGCCATTGTCACAATACCACTGTCACACCACCATCACCACAGCCACGCCATTGTCACAATACCACTGCCACACCACCATCACCACAGCCACGCCATTGTCACAATACCACTGTCACATCACCATCACCACAGCCACGCCATTATCACAATACCACTGTCACACCATCGTCACAGCACCACCATCATCACACGACCATGGTTACACCATCATGATCACAACACCGCCGTTGTCACACCACAGCCATTTCGTGTTTACCAATCAAATGCACCACACCAAGTGTACGAACGCCACACCTCCACGTCACTGTGTAGTTGAGATAATTATGGTCATTTAAGTGATGCAGTGGTTGGGCCGGTTGATGATGAGGTGGCTGGGTTACCCTGGAGATGGGTAGATCCTCCTGGTTCTGCCGGAACTCGGCGCGATTGCAGAGTGCCGCCACACGCGACAGAGACATCCAGGTCGACGAGGAGATGTCAAACGGCTGACCTGCAGCACACATCATCGTAACATCATCTCAACATCACATCACAGCTGACTTACAGCACGTATCATCACAACATCATCGTAACATCGTAAAAACATCACAGCTTCACAACATTACAAGGTTACATCATTCACATCATTAACACAACATTACAACATTCATCACAGAACTACATCATCATCATCGATTTAAAGCTTTCGTGACTGCAGGGATTCATATTCTTGGATCATTCGGTAAAGTCACGTAGAAGGGAAATAATAAAATAATAATAAAACATAATACAATTCTCACGACGTTTCGGCCACAACACAAGCAGCAGCCGTCCTCAGGTGAAGAACAGAGCTGTCTATTTTAATTATTTTATTATTTCCCTTCTACGTGACTTTACCGAAAGATCCAATAATATAATCATCATCATCACATACAAGAGCACACACTATGGTATCATCACGAAACCATCACACATGATCACAAAATCATTACAGCTGGCCTAAATCTCACAACATTACAATCATCATCACCATGTCCTGATGATGATGTGCTTGATGATGTCGTGACGATGTTACGATGTTGTATGATTATGACTGCCACCACCACCGCTACCACTGCCACCACACCGTGGCCATCACCACACCACCGTCAAACCACCACCATCACGATGCCTCGTGAGAGCTCGTTGTCGCCATCTCTCTGTGCATGCGCTAACACACACACACCTGTCTGGTCCTCAGTGGTGTCAGCCGTGTGGATCTGCCCGTCGAACCACATGTGCGCCACTGTCATGCGATTTTGCGTGAGCGTGCCCGTCTTGTCAGAGCAGATGATGGAGGTGGAGCCCAGTGTCTCCACCGCCTCCAGGTTCTTCACGAGGCAGTTCTTCTTGGCCATGCGCTTGGCCGTCAGGGACAGCGTCACCTGGCGGGGGAGGAGGCCGAGGTGTGACGACTCGCGATAGCAAAACCCGCAAGAGGAACGGGCTTTCTGCACCAATGTGTAATTTCTAATACAGGCTCAGAAACGCCGATTCTCCTCGACGCACGGAGCAACCGATGCCACCCCCTCCTGTGGTCGCGACTCACGGTGACAGTGGCGAGCAGCCCCTCAGGCACGTTGGCCACGATGATGCCGATAAGGAAGATTATGGAGTTGAGCCAGTTGTAGCCGAGCGACATGGCGATGATAAAGAAGAGAATGCCGATTGAGATGGCGACGCCCGCCACGATGTGCACAAAGTGCTCAATCTCCTGGGCGATCGGCGTCTTGCCATTCTCCAGGCTCGAGGCGAGCGACGCGATGCGGCCGATCACCGTGTTGTCGCCCGTGCTCACCACAATTCCCAATGCCGTGCCTGCCGCACCACGTGCATGCACACACACGAGCACACACGCACACACACACGTGCACACACAGACATGCGCACACGTACACACAATCACAAGGCATGCGTTATTTCAGCTCTGCGTGCCTTAGAGGGTAGGGGAAAACTTTGACTGAGGACTGAATATGACTTTCAAATAGCTTTGGGAGGGGGCCACACATTAAAGGACAACTTAATGTCATCCGATAACACTGTAAAGAATATTGTGCGTTTAACACGTAGGCTTTCGCGACCAATATTATTCATAATCAACGTTTTTGGGTTTAGATCGCGTTATTTATAAATGTGTCGTAACCCTCCACCACCCGACACAGCCAATCAGTAAAAAAGTGTCACGTTGACAAAAGACAATAGTTCACTGCTTTAGCCCACCGGTATTGAAGCGTGAAACCACAACATTTACAATTTGAGTAGCACGACGTTTCGCTGGTAATTGAATCCAGCAACGTGACACTTTTTTACTGATTGGCCGTTTCGGGTGGTGGAGGGTTACGACGCATTTATAAATAACGCGATCTAAACCCAAAAACGTTGACTATGAATAATGTGCGTGTCGACGAATTGTTAAAGGGCCCTTGCTATGAAAGAAGTGACAGAGCGCTCAAAAATGTATTCAACAGTGTTGTTGCCAGGTCAAAAATATTCCCTTCTAGCACCCGGCTAGTGTTGCTAAGATGCTCGCAATGACAAATGCATTCTGTTTGTGCTACGTTTCGAAGTGGGAGGCCTCGTGGCCGTGGGCCATGTGAAGTGAAGCCACAGACGTACACAGCCCCGAATACAGGCCCCAGGTACAGGCCGGAATACCGGCACCAAATACAGGTCCATGGTCCAGAGAATCCCAACCGCTGCTCTAAAGTGTCATCACACTATCCCCCCTCGTGTTGGTGTGGCTGCCTGTGTGGCTGAGGTGCGCACCCTCCAGGCAGGTGGTGGAGAAGAATGCCAGGTTCTTGGTCTCCAGAGGATTCTCGTGGGAGCAGTCGCACATTCGTGGCTGAGGCTCCGACTCCCCTGTGAGGGAAGAGTTGTCCACCTGCTCCACCCCAAACAGGATCCATACGATGTAGCATACCACCAAACACCACAACACACGTACTACAAACATCACGCACCAACATCACGCACCACTCCGAACCACCACAATCTCAAAAAACACACCATACATGGTGTGACGAGTGCTGCGGTGTGCTGCGATTGCGCTGTGGGATGCGCTGCCGTGCCTTGCAGCCCTGTGCGAAGATGATGCGAAGGTCCGCGGGGATGCGATCGCCACCCTTCACTTCCACGAGGTCACCGAGCACAAGTCCCGTGGCCACGATCTGCATCTTCTCTCCCCCCCGGATCACCTGGGCTTGCTGCACTCGAGAGACATACGGCCATTCGCAATTGAGCGGTGCTGATTTCACTGTAGCGCCAAAGCTTGCATTCGTATGAAATGAGTGGGTTCACAACAACCCAATTAAATCATGAAAATATTATAATTGGTTTTTACCCTTCTATCTGGCAACAAAACTGACACCTTTTTACAAGCAGTCATGTTTGCATAGACCGCAATACCAGCAGTCATAATACAAACAAAAGACATAACTCTGATAATGTATGCACTGTCCTTGAAGTTGATTGGTCCACACCCGAGACAGATTTCCTTAGAGCCTAGTCTCACATGGGTTGGAACAGATGACGCCAAAAGGCGCACAACGCTGTCTCGGGTGTGGACCAATAAACTTCAAGGACAGTGCACATTATCAGAGTTATGTCTTTTGTTTGTATTATGACTGCAGGTATTGCGGTCTATGCAAACATGACTCCTTGTAAAAAGGTGTCAGTTTTGTTGCCAGGTAGGAGGGTAAAAAAACAATTATCATATTTTTACTGGCAAATGAGGTTCCCATAGTGTACATGCAAATATTGTCAACATTCCCAGCCCTTGTATCAATTAACTCTGGATGAATGTTTCCCTATGCATTAAGATGCACTGTGGGAGGCGAGGCATAAATATAAAATAAAGCGGGGCAGAGGCCAGGACTGGTTTAGATATCACTGGGCAATGATGCGGTGGGAGGTACGATGCTGGCCGCTATTCACCTGGGGAACCATGTTTGCGAAGGAGTCCATGATGTTGGTGCTCTTGGCCTCCTGGTAGTAGGCGAAGCAGCCGGTCAGGATGACCACGGCAGCAAGTACCACACCAAGGTAGAGCTGCACAGCACAAACGAGCGAATCGCACCATGTACACCAAACACACACGTGTGTGTTCCTAATTCTGTCAATGTAATTCTGTCAGTGTAATTCAAAGTGTGCGCCTCTGCACGTTAATTTGATCACTTTCCATTCTTTGCACACTTTCCATTTCTTGTTTCTTATGAGTCATGGAGGGTAATATGCATTCATTTAAATAATATATGTAGGCCCCTCTGGAGTTTTGGGCCCTGGTCAAATGTGCAATTGGCTCCTCCTTCCTCTGCCGGTGCTAGGCATAAGCAAACTAAGCAAAAGCTTAGGGCTCAATATAGCTCAGGTGACCCCTGATTTATTTAACATATGGGTGCACCACATACTGTATCAGTTCAAAGTCTGACAGCTTTTAATAAATATAGAAATCTCCATCTTTCCAATGCCACATAATAGACTAGTTATTTATAATATAATCAACTCGTTATTTATATTTATAACGAGTCTATTAACTTCATTATTTCATGCGAGTCGTGATGCAATTAAGTTACACACCCAGCACAGTTACGTCACACACCCCGAAATAATGTTTGCTTCAGGGCCACGTTTTCCATCGGCTGGTACCGTCACCACCACAATGACCGTCACCAGCACAACCAGTGCTCGCGCGTGTCCCCGTGTGCTCACGTTGTCGCGTGGGATGTTGATGTCCTGCGAGTACTGGATGCCGTACGCGATCCAGCAGAGGATGGCGCCGGCCCACAGCAGCAGCGAGAAACCGCCCATCATCTGCCGCATGAACTTGAGCCACTCGGGGGTCCCCTTCGGTGGCGTCAGCGAGTTGGGGCCGTCGCGCTCCAGACGCTCGGCAGCGACGGCCACCGCCAGACCCTGGCCCAGCGTCACACAAAGCGTTATCATCGTGGCCCCAGCAAAGCGGCATGGGCCCCGTTGCAAGAAATTATATGGACACATCCCCCCTTCCCCTCACCCCCCAGGGCTTAATATCTCAAGGGAATTTCTCGTGGAATATTTGCCCATGTCTATTAAAGTGCAGTATTCAAACACGATACCATCTCGGTAGCAAGATGTTAACTGCCTCGTCTGGTATACAGAAGGTCGTGGGTTCGATCCCGATCCTGATGCCTGCATATTTGGAGTTTGCATGTTCTCCCTGTGGTCGCGTAGATTTTTCTGCGGGTTCTCTGTGTTTTCCCTTCATATTTAGAAACATGCTTTTAGAATATTTGGCTGCTATACATTTCCACATGATAAGCCACTTCTTTGAGCTATTATTTGTGGCCAGGTCACTTCTGAAAAAGAGCTTTATAGCTCAGTGGGCCTTACCTGGTAAAATAAAATGAAAATTTAGTTTTTATAGTTTTAAGTTGTTATTACGACCTGAGGTGGCTTAACTTGCAGTGGTGTCAATTACTTTGTGGCCAATAACAGTGAATGGCATAATTAACTATTATCAGACATAGTTGTGTTAACTTAGGTTGTACTAATGTCTGCTACGGCCCATGGACTATTGCCCAGTGTGGCTCAATGCTGCGGTGTATGTGACAGGGCTTGCGATTGCAAACGCAGTACGATACGGTTCCTTGATGTGAACGTCTGTAATACATCGAGGATGTGATTTAAATGTCATTACTGAAAGTGTTAGCCATGCAGCCACAACAAGTGCACGTGTGCACGTGTCTCACCTTTTTCAGGTCAGTCTGATGTTTCTTTTCCAGTTCTCCTTGAGTCAGCTTATGATCATCCTGAAAGCGAAATCACACCATGAGTAGGGGAATTAAATAATTTTTGCGGCGATCGGGCTCAGCGTGCCAGCACTGAGGATCAAGGTGACACCACCACTGACCCTGTGGAGTATTTTATGAACAAATCTTCAGAATTAACCAGGGAGGCCTGCCGAGTCTAACTGCGAGGGCTGGAAGCGTTCGCAGCGTAGTTCGATAGCGGTTTGCGCCACCGCTCCACGTCATTATAATGATTGCTCTATCAACCATGGAAACATGGTGTTGTCTCTATCATTATCACAGGGCTACTGTAACAATTCTTGGGAAAGCACACAGTGACGTCACTAGGGTTGGTGTCACCCAGTGCGGTAACTCGTGGTGTCACCCCCCATGGACCTCCTCCCGTAACAGACCGTATAGAATCCTTCGTACTGTATCATTATCACAGGGTTACTGTAACAATTCTTGGGAAAGCACACAGTGACGTCACTAGGGTTGGTGTCATCCAGTGCGGTAACTCGTGGTGTCACCCCCCATGGACCTCCTCCCGTACCAGACCGTATAGAATCCTTCGTACTGTTACTCCTACATCGTAATTCCCGTATATCACTGAATGCAATGGCAATAGTAGTGACATAAACAACTAACAAATAAAAATTACACCTTTAAATTACAATATCATACGTACAGCCTAAATGTACTTTTACATAGTTTAATGTGGTTAAAGTGAAAATTCGGTAATAAAACAATAGAATTCGAAGTAAGAAAAACGTCAAAACAAATAAGAACTATATTAAATCGGATGTATATTTGCAAGACGGTGATGTTTTTAAAGACAAATTTAAAAAGACTAAAATGAAAAAAAAAACCCTCAATTTAAGATTAAAGTTATATTTCTAAACATATATCAAGAAACATAGCATTTCCCCCCACTTCATGTTGTCAATTTCTCTATTCAGTTATCAAAGAGTTTATTATCAATTTTAATCATCGAATAATCTGTGATATAGTTGTAAATTGCTTAAATATTATATTTCTTAGATTATATGAATACTAACAACAAAATTGTTTTGTAACTGAGCGGAGGCCTTCATTATTTTCCTTTTCCTTTAATTACTACTTCATTCTCAAAAAAGTTATTGATATAGGATCACAAATACTCATTACCACAACATTGTAGCTAAAACACCAGACAATTTGACAAAACCGCGTGCTCGTAGCGCGTGGCAGACGAAACCACGTGACTCCAATCGTCACTGTAGTTGGTTAACAATAACAGCTCTGACCGGAGCGCATTAGAAGATTCAAAAAGTAAATTAGCAGAGTTTTAGCCTTGTAGGTATATTGATACAGTACGTGTAAGCTGGGTTTATGAAAACAAATTTTGTTGTTATAACTACAGGGATATTTTTTATTAAAACATTCTAAATTTCTGCTGAAACATTGCACAACATTTTTTTGGTGTCATGATGCTTACACACCACACCAGGTACTCGTTTGAGCATACCTGTCAACCCATACGGTTTACTCCGTATTCTTGTACAGGGAAATTGAGTTTTCAGGTCCACACGGCGTAAAGCCGTTTCAATACGGGCAAAAAATGTGTCTTATTTGTTTGTGTTTCTCCCTTGTGATGGCATTTTGTAGGATGAACGTTGAGATCTATACGGGCACGGGGTGACCAACAAGGTCTGAGTTGGTCTATAATAAGGTAGGCAGGGCCCTGATAAGGGGTTGACAGGTATATTTGAGGCTGAGTCGACCTAGGGGAGAGCCCATGACCGGTTGAGTCAATCGTCAGCGGTGTTGGCCGTGTGTGAGCCGGAATCGAACTCGGGTGGCCGTGTTTGGTGGCGCAGCGTAGCGGTTCACCACGCACGCCTCCCACGCCGCATGTTTACGGAATCATCGCAAACAAAGGACAACAAAATAGCCCCTGGCTAGCCCCCCCCCTCCCCCCAGTCACACCCCCATACCCCCACCCCCCACAGAACCGGCTTCCTCCTGCTGAGACCGGAGCCAGACCGGTCCCGGCCGCATCGCACCCGCATCCACACGCAGGGTCCGGCAGGGGGGGGGCTGCAGGACCTCGCTCCCTCACAGCCCCCCACCCCACCCCACCTTGAGCCCCCCCCCCCCCACACGCTATCCTCCTGCTCCTACGTCATCAAGCCCGGCTACAGCTGTTCTCGGATGGGAGGGGGGGCAGTAGAGTAATGTATTGATAGTGATACACCGCTAAGGGTGATAGTGAACTTTGGGGGGCGGGGGGGGGGCAAATGGACATTTGTTGGAGCAGGGCTGACCCCAGCGCACCCCTAGCCCCCCACCCCGTCGTGCCCGGCCCCTTCTTCCCTGCCCTCATCATCATCATCATGTCCGTGGGCTCTGTCATGTCCAGCATCATTAACCATGGTTCCATCGCATCTTGTCAGGTGCATGTGCATCATCATCATCAGTAATTCATCGTCATAGGTTGCGCTGCGGTGTGTCAAGGCCACTGTTGGATGAAGGATTCCTCGCGCAGTGTCGTTGTTTTTACCAAACTTCACCCCTCTGGTTGGCGACTGGAGTGTCCAGGATCGGGAATCAAACTCCGATTTCCGAAATCACGATACAATTTGCTTAGCATTACTCCACCACTCTACTCCGTCTTACATATAGACACTCCAATCAGTGGATAGCTAAAAGGGGGTGGTTCTCAGGACCAGGACAAATACGATTTGCCACCGATGCTGGCCCTCACTGCGTCTCCTAATCACTGTCCCTTGGGGGCAGTTATCCCACATGTCTACACACGTGTGTCCCCACGTCTCTGGGATCTACACTCCGGCCCCGTGTCCCTTGCACCCCTACTCAACCCCCATCAGCCTTGTTATCGTGTCCCCATTCCCATCGTCTCCTTGTCGCTGCTCTCGTGTCTCCAGGACACGCGTTCTTCTCTAGGTGTCCTCGCCACTTGTCTCTGCCCCATGTGTCACCTCCTGGGCAACTTAGTCGTGAGAAGGAACGATGGCCAATGGTTTGGACTCACGAGGCAGTGACAGCCAAAGGAGAGAACACAGCCGATGGAGCAATGGATTTGGCTCGCTTGATCGATTGTGGCATCACGTCACCACGAGCGATTGCGAGGGCTGATGATGATATCTCTTCATCACTGGGCAACCTAAACCGGACCATGTCTTTGCATGCCTCCCTCCATTCCTCATCTCCACATTGTCCCTCCCTCCCCACCCTCATTCCCGGGGGGGTGGGGGGCAAGTGACGAAGCGAATGCGTGGAATGCGACACGGCTAGACAGACAAGACTCACCCCCCACACACACCACCAAACACACGAGTTTGTTCGGTCGGGATCACGGGGGGGGGGGGGGGTGGGGAGGGGGGCGACGGAGCAGAGCTAAGGTGGTCAAAGCATGTAACACAGGTGCTTAGCAGCAGTATTTAAGAGGTGATGGACACGCACACGATATTGGCACAGTTTACGGTGGTCGCGGGAATTGTGAATTTAAATAAAAGTTCGTGAACTCTTGGAAATTGCTGCAGAAACGCATTCTCTGCCCGGAGGGGTGGAGGCAGCATGGGACCCTCACTTGGTTCAAGATTTTTGGTTTTACCTAAAAATGTTTGTTTTGAAAGTTTCTTCTAAAGTATAAAATTTATAAAAGTTTTCATTGAATTGTTAGGTGGTGCGTCGCCCCACATTATTCCGTGACCTTCCCATGAACGAACATTCGATGTAACAGCTCAAGAGTGAGATGGACTGTTGCATCGCGAGATCATAGGGGAAGAAGGTGACCATGTGGTGGGGGCCTTCATCCAGGAGTGGATAGACCACAGCTGATGATAATAGACCACGGTTGATGAGCACTGTAAGTGTAACTCTACCATGTCCAGCTCTTGCTTGAGTCCATCCATCTTGTCATCCTTCGCCTGCTGCCGCCCCACCCACTTGGCCCTAAGCCCCTTGCGCTTCTTGCAGGTGGCACCAGGATTGTCGCCCTTCTTGTCCATCCTGTCCACGTCCAACACGGCGGGCACATAGTCCTGCGTGCCATGCGTCTCCACCGTGTACACATTCGCCTGGGGGGAGGAGGGCACCCACAGCACACGCATAGCAAGCACAGGGTTTACAACATACGTATCGTCACTTCCTCCGAATTGTATCACAATCGTGCTATCGGTGTCACATATTGAGACAGATGATCAATTTTAAAGTCTCTTAGAACGGCGTAACTCTCCCTATTAGAGAACGGCCTATAGAAGTTGATATCCTACGGAACGGCATTTAAGATCCATTCAAGTTATCTTTGGTCCACACAAAAGGTGGTAGGTAGGTAGTTAGTACGTCACCACCTACTCTGCATGTGAAATGTTCGTCACATCAAATGAATGTGTAATTCTTAGAGCTGGAATGTAACCAAAATAAGAGCAGAATCCAATTAAATGTGATGGTTTTTGTGCAGACAAAAACCCAGTACACTTGAACATTTGGCTTAATCATTCCTATCCAGGCTCTCAGCAGTGCCAGCATCAGTCATCTGACCTCCAGGCCACCTGACCACCTCCAACAACTACAGAATTTAATATCGTCACCAGCAGCATCATCATATTCTAAACACCCTTCACATGCCATGACTACAGCGGCGTAGCTATCGGGTGTGCAGGCACTTCAATTGCACCAGGGTCCACAGACCGGAGGGCCCCAGACGCTGGGCTATGAAGGGTGCGGGGGATGAATTATACAGCACCTTTGCACCTGGGCACATTCTAACCGCGCTACGCCATTGTGTCATTACATCTCGAAATTAATGCCAAATAGTTTCATACGTGAAGCAAATGTCTCTGAACAACACATTTTTCTGTACAAAAAGAAATACAAACAACTGAATACAAATATGCCACAGGCAATTTGACACAAACTCACACGTGTTGAGGGTAGTGTTGTCACTTGTGTGTGTGTGTGTATTTTACATGTGTATTTTCCCATGTGTTTTTTTTACTAATTGTAAGGGTACAGACGGTTCAGCTACAACTACAAAATTGTAATCGACTTGTTCCATCATAACTATATGGTTGCCACAACTAACTGAACGAACCATTTTGCAGGTATCACCTAAGAGCAGAGCAGAAATTGATCTCCCGCTGGGGTGGCAACACGACAGTGGAACTAATTGTTTTATATTCCTGTTAGAAAAAAAAGTTTTTAAAAGTGTTTAAGCGTATTTATCGATAATACAAATTTGAGTGCGTATCCTTCCCAATTTAGATGAGCACGGTGTGAAAAAAGTCCAGCATATATACAGCGGTTCTTCATAAACACAAACACGCAATTCTGTTTTTCTTATGGTGTACGTCTGCTTGTGGCGCATCTTTCCACAGGAGGGCGCTCTAATAAAAATAACTTAGAATTCATTGCCGCTTTGTATATTCGCGCTGGATGAAGACCTCCCTTCCCCTCGGACAAACACCGTGTCTGTCCATACTTCACCACGCTGGTCATCGCAGATGGGTGAAGGTGACGGTGGGCGTGAATGATATCGGCTCAGATATCACTCCTCGCTGACGTTACCCGTTCAGACGCTCACCCAACCAAACGCTCACCCATCCAGACTCTCACCCCTTCCAGTCCTCACCCATCCAGACTCTCACCCGTTCGGACTCTCACCCGTTCATGCTCTCACCCGTTCATGCTCTCACCCGTTCAGACTCTTACCCACCCAGGTCCTCACCCGTTCAGGCTCTCACTTGGTTCAGGCTCTCACCCATCCAGACTCACCCGTTCAGACTCTCACTTGGTTCAGGTCTCACCCATCCAGACTCACTCCTTTAAACTCCCACTTGGTTCAGACTCTCACCCATCCAGACTCACCCGTTCAGACTCTCACTTGGTTCAGGTCTCACCCATCCAGACTCACCCGTTCAGACTCTCACTTGGTTCAGGTCTCACCCATCCAGACTCACCCGTTCAGACTCTCACTTGGTTCAGGTCTCACCCATCCAGACTCACCCGTTCAGACTCTCACTTGGTTCAGGTCTCACCCATCCAGACTCACCCGTTCAGACTCTCACTTGGTTCAGGTCTCACCCATCCAAACTCACCCGTTCAGACTCTCACCCGTTCAGACTCTCACCCATCCAGGCACTCACCCGTTCAGGCTACCATACGAGGGACTTGTTATATTCTTAACGCGTTTTCCTTGACGGATCTCGTTCACTAAATATTCTGTCGTGTTTATTGCGTTTAAGGCCGCTCTTTGATGTTTGAATTGGAGCTGCGTCCACGCTGAGATTGTCCCCCCCTCCCCGCCTTGTTGGCAACTGCCTAGATTGAGAATGTAGGGCGGTTGTTTGGCTCACTGATTAGTGATAAGCTCACGAAGCCGGTGGAAACCTTGAGATTAAATTACAATTGCAATCAAAATTGTATTTATAACTGTTTATTCATGATGTACACTCTCAAAAGACATGGACCAGTGGCGCAGTGGTTAGCGCACTGTGCTCTGAGAGAACCTGACTACCTGAGTTATTTTCCAGACCACGACCAACATCGGTGGCTCGTGACACAATATGAACCAGACCTGAGCGCCCCAACCCTGCTCTTCACCACCAACCTCGCACTGACCAGCGTGGTGAAGTATAGTCAAACAATCCCCGAGCACCACTAGCAGACGGTCCGACTCTCGTCCGAGCAAGGGTAAGTAAAATAAGTGATGGTTTATTGTCAGACATTCGTATGGCTTTGATGTAGAGCAACAACTATTATGTTATTTGGTTCTTTCGGTTAAGTCACGTCTAAAGATAAAATAATCTTTAGACGGTTAAGTCACGTCTAAAGATAAAATAATCTTTAGACTTGACTTAACCGAAAGAACCAAATAATAATAATTTCTGCAGTCACGAAAGTTCTAAAACTATTATGTTACATTGCGGTTTGATTGAGCCAGATAATTGAGCCAGAGTAACAGGAGTGCATCGCTGTGATGATGCCTCCTCCTTCTTCGCATTTGTGAATCTGCCCAACGAGTCGTTCGATTGGACCCCCCCCCACGTGCCCCATGTGGTGTCACTGTGATCACCCTGCGGTGATTGAGACGCCACTGCGGGTGATGGGAGCCCGTCGCTCAATTGCCCAAGAGGCGCGCAGGGGTCGCACCCCGACTAAGAATAAAAGGATGGGGCTGCCTTCTCACCGCATCACACAGTGAAACTTTTTGTCCACCTGTGATTAGCCTTGCAAGTGCAATGCTAATCGCTCTGAACACACGCACGCATGCATGTGTACCGCACCCTTTGGGCTTCACACAAAAGACTCGATTTGCGTGAATAACTTTGGAAAGACCCCACACAAAAGGGTTGATTGTACGTGTTACAACTTAGTCTATGTATATGCAGCCATGGAGCCACATTAATTTAAACTCCACATGAATTATCGTAAGAGATCTATTCTATAAACATTTGCCCCACGTGATTACCAGTGCTGTAAAAATACGATAATTTGTTTCTGATTATTTTCCACGTTACCTCCTCGTTATCCACCAACCCGCACTGACCAGCGTGGTGAAGTATGGTCAACTCCTCTCCCAACAGTTCCGACATGACGTGGGAGGCCTTCATCCATGGATGTACAGTATTGAGATTGGATTAAATCGATCTGTCTTATTAATACACAATGTCCATGGCATAAAATAACAGAATACAGCCCTTTGTCAACCCACTACTGATTGATGGTTGTTTGACCATACTTCACCACGCTGCTCAGTTTTACAGATTTAAGAGGCAGTCAAACAAGTTCGTATATTACTCGCCACTCATGCTCCCCACGTCTAACCACTGCGCCACCTGCTCCGCTCGCATTGTTTAATAGCTTCGCTGCCGGCTTCTGCGCGTTGGTTTAAAATGTAATCGGCGTGACCGCGAATGCTCAGCGCTAGAAGCTATGGAAGCTGGGGTCTGATCACTGATAGAGCACGGGAGCCGTAACATAAAAAAAAATCACAGCGGGGTGGGGAGCAGCGTGGATAGTGGACGGGTGGGCCCGAGTTAAAGGGCCCCCAGGCCACGTGCAGGTGAGTTTACACCGGACCGAACCGCCGATCGCGGGTCTGGTGGGGGGAGCGTGGGGGGGCGGATGGGTGGGGGGTGGGGGAGAAAGGTGCTAACCCCCACTCCACGTCGAACTGGTGACCGCGTCTCCTGCTGTCAATATGAATGAGCGGACAAGCCCGAGGTTCAGAGGGCATGGAACGCATATTCATGGGATTCTCAGGATGCAGTGGCCGTGCTCGCTGGCAATGAGAGCACGTGGAATATTGCCAGGAGAGATCATTCGCTGTGTTTTCAATGAGTAGGTATGACTGCACTTACTAAAATTTAAACATGAACTCCTTATTTATCATTCACAAAATGCGTACGTTTTAATGTATGTACGAGTAAATATAAGTATAGGTTCTGGTCTTGGGTTGGATTGTCTTTTTAAGGTTGTATGTATTTTTCTTGAATCCGTTTAAGTCTGCTGTTTTACTCGCCTTCAACTCAGACTGGTCATGGTCAGATAACCCTCACAACCCACACAGCAGTGGATTTGAGCGAAAATTACAAATATAGAATCAACGGACTCTCAGATACACATATACTGTTCAGCCCTTAGTTCCTTCAGGGTGGATACATTCCGTAGAATTCGTATTTGGAATATGTTCCCACCACGAGAAAAAGGACATCCCACCACTAACTCGGTCCCCTAATGGCTATAAGTGCACGGGCCAGAGACACGCCAGCATACGAACGAAGCATTTTTGGGATTAATCTTTGCAGAACCAGCGGAGATCCCTGGTGATATGCAACGAGGTATTACAGTGGTGAGCGCACTGCATCATGAATCGAGAGACATGAGGTTGATTTTCAGCCACGGTTACATCAGTGGCGAGTGATGCGGCCCTGCCACCTTGTCCAAGCTGCACTGACCAGTGTGGTTAAGTACAGATAGAAAGCAACAATCCATTTACATCCCTTTGTCAATAAACTGCTGGCTTAAGGCCCTTTTATACCGCTTCAGATCGCGTGGGTTCTTTGACCCTTACCGCACCACGCTGGTCACTGCGGTTTGGTCAAGGGGCTCCCAGGATCCTTGCAGACATCAATCGCCACTGAAATTAGCCACGGCAGGGAATTGAACTCTGGTCGCTGGATTCATAATAGCTCAATTACGATGGCCACTGTAACACCGCTCCCAAATAGAAATTAAAAAGTAACGATAATTATCAATGATAATGTAAAAACGATCAAATCAAAAACTTTAAGTGCGGTCCACTCTCGCAGTGACATGATTATCAATGATAATGTAAAAACGATTAAATCAAAAACTTTAAGTGCGGTCCACTCTCGCAGTGACATGAAGGGTCATTTCCCGAATTGTCACCTATTGTTTTTCCTTCTAAGGAAAGTGTTATCGAAAAAATGTCTTGAGGGTTTTGTTAATTAAAAAAAAAACCCATAATACAATTCACGGTTTACTCACACACGTCCACACATAGACACAATCGAACGAAAGTGCACACACGTACCCCTCTGTTGTCCATTCCGATGGTCGTCTGATCGATCGCCCGAAGAAGATAATTGGCTAAGAACGTGCGTCTAGCTCATTCAATCGACTCGGCTAATGGACGTGGTGTTGTCACTCAGCGAGACGGGGGTGTGAGCAGCACGAAGCGGCGAGCCTTATGGGGGGGGGGGCGTCTTCTCATCCACGGGCACTCATCATCTCGAAGTGGAACTCACAAGCACCGTGCGGGGCCAAGCCGAGTCGCCGCCTATTATACAGGAGGCACGGGGGGGGGGCGGGGCCCCCACGCCCCCGCAGCCCCGCCCCTCCCCCAATCCCTCCACCATTTCCTCCCACCCCCACCTCCTTCACCCCCCTCCCCTCCACCTTCACCCCCCCTCCCCTCCACCTCTTTGTAGAGATTTTTGTTTTGTTGATCCAAATTCGGAAAACATCCTCTATTGTCAAGTGTACTTTGTCGAACCAGGTGAGGACTCAAAAGACCAGGACGAGTTTCATCTGTGAATTCACATCATCGCAGTGATCATTTTATTGTACAGAGAGCCCCTAATGCATTCATCATGCCAATCACAAAATTATCTCCAGACTTCCACATTCAGTGAACCTCTACAGCCTTAACATGGATTCATTCTCGATTGATTTTTAGCCTCTCGTTTGAAGTAGACACAAGCCCCAGTTTTTCCTGGGCTTGTGACTACTTCAGTTTTCATTAATTCATTAACTGAGATGCAATTATTTAAATCGTGAATACAATTTAACGTGCACAATACGTGGGCTTAATATACCATTCCAATTTAAGCAGCAATTCACTCTGAATTTGATCACGTCTATTTTACGCCTACTTGTTTAGGGTCATAATGTTTATTTTACCAAAACACTTTGCAATCATGCCTAGTAATTATTAGCATTTAATTGATTTCCTGTCCATTCATTTATTTCAATTAATTATTGCAAATTCGGACACAATACGACCGAACGAATTCAGCGTGAATCCCATCTTTATCCCCATCGCATGCGATTCAGTTTATGTTTGTGTGCGATCCTACGAACAGATGCGGTGTTTTTTTTTTTTGTCAGGAGCTGGGTCCAAATTCCGATTCTGAACTCATCCGATGGTCCACCAGCAGCATGCAACACGCAGGCAGCACCTCTGGTGTCGCGTTCATGTCGCTTGGGGCTTTTTTTGTTTTATTAAACGCCGTTTATCCTCACGTGGGTTTATAATAATGCACGCCTTACTGGTTGTGCTCTGGTTTTCTAGTATTACCACGTGCTCCTGATTATAAGACGCTCCATGAAGTAAGATGCACCCCAAACTTGTGTCCGCTTTAAATACCGGCTATACACATCTGGTGTTGCATTTCCCCCCACACATTTGTTTGTATCCTTTATTTAGTATTTATTTGTTGCCTTATTTTGCAAAGGGCGACATGGGTCACACCAAGAGAAATTTAGAACACCATGTATTCTTTTTAAACATTAAGATGTAACTTCCTAATTAATAGAAGTATCCCCAACTTGTGCTTTAACATAAAAAAATAGTGAATTTTCTAATCCTGAGAATTGGCACCGCGTTTATACCCAAATTATGGCAATTTGTGAAGATGTCAATATCACTGGGATTCCAGTTAGTAGAGAATCAACTAAGCTGATTTAAGTTTAATTGCATATGTATGTATGTATGTTGAGCTTCTTTCGCACTGTACGTAGCCAAGCTTGCTAATCTGAGGTGTAGAAAGTTGATATATTTTAGTCCATTAGCCTCTTTGATTTTTCAAGACCAATTTTATCCGGTTTTAAGCAAAACCAGATCGGTTTTAACCTTCTGGGTCTCTTCAGTGGAGTAATGCCTGTTAAACAAACGCTGCTGGGTTGGCAGATGTTATTTACAAGATCACTCCGTCTAAACCATGCCCTGTTCAACACAAGATTCAATGCATACAAACTCATACGTTGTAGTACCTTGTTTATGTAATACGTTTGTATACAATAGCGACAGTCCTCGACTTATGAATGGGTTACGTTCCTGAGACCCATTCGTAAGTAGATTTGTTTGTATCTCGGAACTCAATAATATTTAATCGTACATATAGTCGGTGTTATACAATGTTTTATGGTTCAACAATACACGGAATTATTGTTAAACTCATATATAAGAAGAAATATTGTACATTTGCATGCAATTCTGGAATAAAAATTGTATAGTAAGTAAAACATAAAATAAAGTAACCAAAAAAGATATTTCATTTTCGTTTACCTTGAGTCCTGATGCTGGCTTGCTTCTCAGAAGGAGCGAAATGAGTTCCCACAATTGCACACACAATAACGACAATGATCCCCCTTATAGCCTTAACAGACTGTTGGGGCAAGTGATGTTATCGAGCACCTATGAAGGCCGGCACGACACATACAGAGGTGAGTGGCCAGCACCACGCCTGGTCGCCTTTGTCTCCCTAGTGGCGACATTTACACACCCCACCAAATACTCATTTGAGACTGAGTCGAGTTAGGGGAGGGCCAGAACACATTCAGATAATCGTCGCTGGTGTTGGTCGTGAGCAGAAATCTATGTGCACTTCACACACACACGCAGGCACACGCGCACACAAAGATAAAGATCCCCCGTATAGCCTTAACAGACTGTAGGGGCAAGTGCTGTTAGCGAGCACCTATGAAGGCTGGCACGGCACACGAGGGGTGGGTGGCCAACACCACGCCCGGCCGCCTTTGTCTCTCTAGTGGCGATCTTTACACACCGCACCAGGTACTCATGTAAGGCTGAGTCGACCTAGGGGAGGCCCAGGACCGGTTCAGATAATCGTCACTGGTGTTGGCGGTGAGCGGGAATCGAACCCGTGTCGCCGGGTTCATAGCGCAGCGCGCTAACCGCTACACTACCGCTCCCCTCCAAGTGCGCACACACGCACTTGCAAACACACATACTCACTTTCCTACAGACACACATACCCAAAAGGATGCTCGGACTCATGGCAGATCGCTCCCTCGAACAAAATAGTTTCGTGGTTTGGTTCGTAAATACGACTGAACGTTCGCAAGTCGGATGGCTAGAAATAAAAACATTATAGTGGTTCGTTCGTAAGTGTGGATGCGCGTAGATTGAACGTTTGTATCTCAGGGACTGCCGACAACACTGAGACGGCTTTAGCGAAAGATCACTGATGACCTCTACAAGATCATGGATGACCGGTGCACCGCAAGCGTTGCTTGGCCTCAATCTCCCAGCCGCCTTAGTCACAATTGACAATGAGATAATCATCGGGCGGCAACGGTCAAGGTTCGATGGATTGGGTACGGCACTGGTCGATCACAGTTTTTTTCAAGGCTGGTAATGATCAGTCATCGCCGATGCTGTACCTAGTTGGCGTGCCACGGAGGTCCATCCTCAGGCCCGTTCTATTTTCAACATCGTCTGGTGATACACAATTGTACACTGCAGTGAAGTCAAAGTTAGATATGGAGAGGCCTAGGTAATCTCGAAGATTGCACGCGAGCAGTGCACACGTGTGGTTTGCATGAAAGAAGATGCTGCTTAATCCTGGAAAATAGGAGGTTCTGGTGGCTCGCACTCGGGCCCGGGCGAAAACAATTGTGGGAGGATCAGGTGTGGCCATCGCAGACTCCAGGATTCATGTTTCTATCCATCCAAAAAGCCTCGGCACAGTACTCGATCAGAATATGTCGTTTGATCACCACGTGCAAAATGTAGTCAACCCCGGAAATTTTCATATTCGGACTCTATGACATATTTGACCACAATTGAGTCGTGACATAGCCAACACGGTGGTGTGTAGCATAATATCGCCAAGGCTCGATTATTGCGACTCACTACTCGACGGGACGTCTACATTACCAAGCTGCAGCGTGTACAACATTATTTGGCAGGTGTCGTGACGGGTACTGCAAGATCCGATCATGTCCGTCCGGTGCTCGCTGAGCTGCATTGGCTCTCAGTTGCCTAACGAATAGATCGTAAGGTCCCACTCATTACACACAAAGTGCTTGCCACAAATGAACCACAACACCTTGCTGATTTCGTCAAGGAGCGTAAACAATCACGCAAACTCCGGTCATCCTCACATCGGCTTTTGGCTAACCATCGAACAAAGACATCACGCACTCCCAGATGCGCTTCTGCAGCCGTCTGGAACGCTTCTTTCTTCCAATATTAGGAAGCCACTGGAGGTATGCACTCTTAAATAATCTAGATTGAAAATTCACTTTTTTCGAACTGCTTTTTGTGTTTCGTTTGTTGTCCTTATTATGTGGACATTTATAAGCAACCAAATACTCAAAACAAATGTTTCTAGTTGTAGAAGGGAAACCCGAAGAACCCAAAGAAAAATCCACACTACCAGGGGGGGAGAGAGAGAGAGAAATGAAAACTCAAAATATACAAGAGACTAAGTCGAGGTTGAACTCGCGCCCTCCTGTATACCAGACGAGGTAGTTATCATTTCACCACCGTGGTGTCATGTGTGTGTTACTAGAGGTACGCATACCTACACTTTGCCTCACCACGTACAAGTGATCATTCATTAACTTTGGTGCAACCCATTTACGACGCTGAGCGGGCATCTAAGAAACTTGCACCATTGTTTCAACTATATTTAAAAAAGCTTAGACAAATTTAGGATTTTTAGAATTCAGAGGTATCGCCACCTAAGACTCTTCAATTCAAACGAAGGTCAATGTGTGTAGAATGTCAACCGTGGCAAGAGAAACATCTCAGACTCTTCCACACATGCTTGCATGGTTTCATTGGCATTAGGGTTTGTGCACGGGTACCACTTTAGGGATTACAAAAACAATCAACACATTCGTCAATAACACTGTGATTATATATATTAAAATAAAATATATATAATCGGCGACATTTCAGGGAATGGCTCTTCTTCATAGAACATTCTTAACTGTCTTTTAGAGTTTTCCATAGGGCTGGAAAGTGTGGACTCGCCTCTAGAGAGTTTATTAAAGTGTGGTCAAAGCGCCAAAGCTGTGGAGGAACGTGCAATTGTATCCCCGTGTGCCTGTGCGTTGGTCGACATTTATTGAAAACACTTGGGGCTACGGTGTCGAATTCAATGACGCTGACCAAAATAAAGGTGTTGAATAGAAACCGAACATTGGCAACCAAGCCACATGCGTCTCGAGTCTGCAATGTTGTGCAGAAGCGTCAAATAAAAACACACCCTACTCA